ATCCCTGCGACGTGAAGAAACGTGAAACAGCGTTTCTCAAAATGTGGGGCGTGCCCCCCTTGGGGAGCGTTATAACTCTACGAGGTTGCACGAGCATATTGAAAAACGGAAAACAAAAGATAATTTTAAAAATTATTAATTTACTGAAAGTAAACAAACAAAAAAACTTTCTGATATAAAATATAAAATACATATTTATACTGCTATAATACACTTATAAATGTATCAGTACTATATAAAATATTTTATAATTAATTTAAGAATACTTAGTTAAGAACAAGTTTGATACATACCAGTGACCCCGTGGACTTATATCAATACTTATCTTGATAATCTGTACGGTTTATAATTAAGTTCTTGACTGCCGATTATTCGCTCCCAAATGCCACCGTTTTCCAGGTAGACGCGCTTATGTTGATGTTTTTTGAGGGAAAGGAGAGGGGCAATAAAATAAGCAAAGAAAAAAAACCCTTCGCAAACACTGTCAAGGTTTTTTTATATATTGCATTCCAAAGCCTTCGGAATAATTATATGGATAGCACTGCAAAGAAAAGATTGTATTTCGGAAAGACGTATATATACGTCCAGGAGATTAATGTTTTGGCTGAGTGAGACGTTTATATACGTCGGTGGCATACAAGAGGTTAAAGTCGTATTGTAGCTTTAGTGTCAAATCATACATCGTTACATCAATACATCGTTATTGTATGGAGGAGGGCGCGATGAAATTCTTGATTGAATATTGGGTCGCGAATATTGAAAGTTTGAGAAGCAATGGGATAAGAGGATTAGTGGGGAAGGTAGTGAACCAGCTGGTCACCCAAGATCAGCGATTACAAATCAAAACATAGCCAAAATTAGTGATGTGAGTGATACCACACACATCAGTGCTCAGATTATTAATCAACACTACAACATTGAAGTACTAAAAGATTTCGTGAAAAAATAAGGAAAAAAAAGCCAGAATTGGAGAGTGAAGGATGACCGTAGTACCAAGTCAATGTTATCTGCTCACATCGCCATATCTGTCAAGCAGTTTCTGTCCAAGAAAACATGACTATGAAAGGGCATCCTTCTTATTCATCTGATCCGGCCACCTCTGCGACTGTTTTTTCATTGCCTACTTTTTAATCTTGCTGAGTAAGA